CCTACACAAGAACAGTCACCAACACCCCACATGCTAAATTCTTAATACCTTATAAAATCAGGGGAACTGTCATGCTAACCTTATCTGATTTCCTTCAAAACATGAGAAACAACTTTTCCCAGTTTCTTTTAATTCCAAACCATTTTCTATATGAGCAAGAACATAAATTTTGAAATTCACCATTTGCTATATAGAATTCAAGTAAATAATACAGTACACAACATTCCTATAAAATTTTCTCCGATTTTTAACCTTGCTGTTAAAAAAGGAAGTACATCTAGTCTGAATTGTCTTCATTTACTTACTACTTCTTTAAAGTATTTTCACAGTACGTTCTGTTTAACTTGCGTAATCATGAAATTCCTGTTATAAGTGGGATTGGTTAAAGGAAAAAAAAACAGGAAAAGGACTACACACAAAAAAGTACACACTGCACAATATCTGCATTCTACATGCTCTTTTCTACTAAAAGCTGGAGGAAATACATAGTTTTGCATTAGATGCAAACATCTGAGCTCTGTCAATGCCATGGGAAGAAAAACCCAAACCCTTTAGCAATATGGATGCAGAAAAAATCTGCCTTTATATAGCTACTCCAGAGTATCGTTAAAAAACAAAACTTCAAGAAAATCACAATTTATTTATTTATTTATTTACTGGAAACTGTGGGGTAGGATTCAAGGTAACTCTTATGCTGTTACTCCTGCTTTGCATGCTGTCAGTGTGTTTCCCCTTATAGCATGCATGTCTCTTCTTATGATAGGATGTGAACCCTTGTGATAGGAACAGTCTTTTGTTCTGACTTCACATCATCAATATGAGAAATGCCCTTAGCGCCCCTAGCCATAGTAAACAAACAACAGCAGTAACACATTTATAAATATTACATTGTTCCAATGTCATTTTTGGGTACTCTTGGTTTAAGACCACTTAATATTCAGCAAGCTGAATTTTCTAAGAACTTTCATGTGTAGACACATTCTTACTGATCTAGGCCCATATCCACAGCGGTATGTAAATATTTAACATGCATCAGATCTCACTAGCTTCCAGTGTTTTAAAAGGGAAAATGAATGTCTAAATAGAATTTATACAATTAAATATAGGGGCTGACCTTATCTGTTAGAGTGAGGTCTTAGGGACATGCAAAATCTTACAGATTGCAAGCACCACCTTGAACCCCCGAACAGCTACTAAAGTTGTGCAACTTTGTTCTCTGCTACCTGAACAGTGGGGCTCTAACTCCCATTCAACAGAAACAGCCAGTGGTCTCACATATACTTCATTTTTAACTAGCAGGCAGAAAGTAAATGCAAGGCTGTTGATGTCCACAAAACTGTTAGCTAAGTGAAGATCATTGGTGCTGAAAGATTATTTAGAAGGATAATTATTCCATTGGGGAAAAGCCAGAAGAAAATAAGAGTCAGGTGGCTAACAGGGTGAGACTGCAAATGCTCAAACGCAGAAGGCTCTGATGAAGCAGAAGGCATTTTTCTTACAGAATAAGATTTTCTGAGTTTTCCTTTAGCGCCCCCATTTTTTTGTATGCTCAGCAGCACTAATCCACAGCTGCTGTGAAGAAAACGGGCTCAGTCAGAGTTCTTGCATGAGACAAAGAAGTAGCACACAGGCAAACCATCATACTGCTATGACATATTCCGGTTTCACATTACTTAAAATATTTTCCAGACATTCTCTCAATTGCTCATTTGAAACTTGCATAGCCAACGTTGATCTATCTTGCTATTTTATAATGCATGGTGCAGTTGTGCGCAGAAGAGCAATGTGCCACCCTCTCATGTACCCTGTGGGATGTCACACGGACACTAACGAGGCTGCAACATCACTGACACACCTAGAAACCTCTTATCTAGAGAAGCTAGAAGCTCAGAGAAGGCTCATAGCCTGATTTGGAGCAAATGCCACAAATGGCAAAGGTGAAGCTATTAGCGACCATTTCACTTCTAATGAAAGGATCAGGCAGCAGAGATATATCTTCAAACCTATGTTCTATTTTCAATTTCCAGCCATGGTACTATTAGGTTTTCAATAGGAGGAAGGTTTATTTTTCTAGTCAGTACAAGTACTAGAAGGATAAGGATCCAATGCAGCAGCTATAATATTCAAAACATGGATTGATAGATACAGAGAGAATGAAAGAGAGGGAAGGGGAGAGAGATGTAAAAAAGAAGGAAAGAGAGGGAAATTTTTTAGAAAGATAGATGGGGAAAAGAGAGCAAAACAGACAGACAAAGACAGCCATGCAAATAGATAGACAGACAGAAATAAAAAGGAAAAAAAGAAAAATACAGGAAGGAAGGGAGGAAGGAAGGGTTAAGATTTCCTTTGCAATGGAGCTTTCACATTTTCCAGGTTTATTTCATAGCTTGTGTATGGTATGGATTTTCAGATAATCATCTTATCTATATTTGTAAGAGAAGACAAAATAAGATTTGTTTCTAATTCTCTACCACATGACTCCTTGTTACACAAAGATCGAATAGATTGGGACCAATAAGCATAACATTACCACACCAGAAACAGACTGCAGGAAAGCCTGTCTTCCGGATCTTCCATAGCTTACCTGTGTTAGCCAGGATATCAGATGAGTGTCAAAATGACGACTGGAAGACAGGCACTAATGAGGTGCCTTTATACTT